ACGCTAAGTCACTTCAGTTTCTTGTCGATTTTTTTAGAATTATGGAAGATCTCGTGGCTTCTTGCCACGAGAGGGAGCGACGGTAGTGTGCGTGGAAATTCGCAGTCAGAAATTGAAATTCGCGTAATTGCGTAATTGGAAAGTTGTTTGTTTAATTTTTGTATTATTATTTTTAAAATTTTATTACTACAAAGTTTATCTTTCAACGTTTCGCCATTCACTCGGAGGATGTTTCACTTTATCGAATTGGTTGAAAAGACACAAGACTTTATCTCGCAGCAGCTATTTAAAACTGCTGCTGATAATTTGCAAACCATCTCGGTGACTCTCGGTAAAGATGCGACTTACGACGTTAGTCCCACCCAGTAGCTACGCCATTCTTATCCCCGTTTTATCTTGCCCCACAACCAGCATTCTCCACGCTAAAGATCTATCTTTATCCTGGACCTTGTCCCACGAAGTTTCCTCCCCTCCTCCCCCCCCCCCGAAGATATCACACAGTGACGAAGTAAAAAAAAAAAAAAGAAAAACACTTCCCTCGATATCTCTTTCACCACATTTTCTTCCTCCATCTTCCTCATCTTCAAAAATGTATTAAAAATTTTACGTTTATGATATTTTATTATATTTTAGCAATTATACTAACAAATGAATTGATTTATACTTATTTACTTTAACACTAATTCTAACTATTGTCTGTTTCATTATAATTGGACTATATAACAGAAAATTCCTAAGGATATATCCTTACGCATTTAAAATAAGTTTAAAAACTATCTACAATTCAACTTTCGAAATTTCACTCTCGAACATCGAAGATAGAATATTTCTGAATATGTGCAGTTTATTATCGCCTTCATCGTGCGAAATACCTGTTGAGGAACGAAAAATTGGGACGAGATCGAATTATTTTTTAAAAGTGGTGGCACGCACGTCGCGAATGCACGTTTACGACGCTTCGTTGCTCCCTCTAGAACTAGTATTCTGTCGGCTTGAAAGCAGATTCCCAGTTTACCGCGGCGCGGAACTGCGTTTATTGCATCCATATATCTTTAGGTGACTGTTCATTCATGAGTTGAGTCGCGTATCGAAATATAGCATCCCCCTTCGTCACGTGCGCGTTTCAATTGTGGCGAGATCAATTTTTCGAACGGATCACCGTCGCCTCTGTGGCGTACACGCATAAAAAATATCGAGACGCTTTTTCCCCTTCCCCTCGCATCTGTCCATTGAGCATATCTTGAAATTTAAATATTACTCGGTTCGAAAGTACGATTATAATCGCGCGACAAGCAACGGCCAATTTAATTTAATTCAGAATATTATATCGTAGCTGTCGAAACGAATAGAGAGGTAAACTTACGGTGATAACAGTCGTTCCAATCTTTTTCTCAAAATTCTCTTCTGAAACGAAATCGGAAAGATAAATAAAAGAGAGAAGAAATTATTAAAAAATATTACGTGAAATGAAAGAACACGTGACATCGTGCCCGCTTCGATCGTTATCCCTTCGTTTTTTTTCCCGCCATAATCCGCAATTATCCGGGAACAATTTTTCTTTTTCTTCGCCTTCCGTGCGAGCGGAATCAGAGATACGAAGAACGAAAATCGCTATCAGTCAAAACGTTCATCCCGGCTCGCATGTCGCGGTTAATATTATTTCATCGTGGCACGCGATGAAGTTATAAGGGAACTGTGTGATGAACGGATCGTATCGAATTTTGATACGATCGTAAATTTAAACACAAGTGTTTATTCGGTTCAGATATATTCGAATGAAAAGGGAAAAAGAAACCCGGCTTTTTTTTCTTCTTGACACGGCTCTTAACGGATTCTTTAATTAAGCTGTCGGGTCAAAAAAAAGGAAAAAACGCGAGTTCTCTTTCGGAGAGCGATGCATGCGCTTATTTTATCCACGTTTCGCAATCAAATTCGTAATTTGATTTATAATTCTTATCATTTTAGGCTGCATGCTGACCACCATTTTTATTATATTTTCCCAGTTATCGGCCTCTGACGATATCACAGGCTCTTCAATCTTTTTTCTCGAAGGACTCGCTTTTTTGATCCGAAATCGACAAAATATGCATTGCATTTCACTTGACGGTACTCTTATGTAATTATATAAGAGATTGAACACGTTGCATTATCTTTTGTTAAAATTTGTCGAGAAGGAAAAATTAGCAATTTATAATTTTAGAAACAGAAACCGATATCGAGACGATGAGGAACTTTAGAGGAATAATATTTATGAATCACGGAGGAAAATCTAGCGAAATCGACTTGCAAACACGTTATGCAATTTTTTAGTCCCCTCCCCCCTCTCTCCTCCTCTCTCTCTCTCTCTCTCCGGAATATCACAACCACGTCGTGATTTCCTAACACGATCCGCAGTTGCTGTTTCTTCGGTTATCTGTAGGGAATTCCCTGGGATAACCGACAACTGATGTTTGTCAAACAAGCTACTCCAATAATAGACCGTGGATAAACGTTCTTTATCGGTGATATACAATGTTGGAATATTCAACGCACTGATCATCCAATATTTGACTCGGCTATTCAAATTGGAATTTAGGATACGTTCGATCAACGAAGCGTGTGCAGCGTGGTGGGTCCGTTGTTGAATTCGTTACTCGATACTCGAAACTTTGGGTAATCTAACAATCCTTCCGCTCCCGGATTGTTCGAGCCGAAGTTTCAGTTAAATTAGCGACCGTATTATATAATCATCATTTCGCGCAAAAAGCAACACTCCCTTACGTTCTTTTCAATTTTTAATCTTCAACTCGAAACTAAACAATTCCTCGCGTACAAGTGTTATTCCCTCGAAAACGTTTATCGATCTAAATACGTGTAAATTCACAAACTTAGTAGCTTTCATAGTTTCACCACTCGAAATTTCGCCACTCGTCGAGAAAATGGAAAAAAAAAAAAAACGAATCGATCCGTTTCTTAAAATGCCAACTCGCTACTTGTTCCCAACCCTTTCTCTCTCTTCCGCCCCGGTTCCCCTCGATCTTACCGTGCCCGTCCCCTCGTGCCGGTGGACAACTGTTGCTGGTACCGCATCCATTATTACAGCATTACGATTTGCCGCAGCACCACGTGCGCCGCGCTTATGCATATATGCAGACCTCTCGTGCGCTCTTCCGCGCGTGTACACCGTGTTCCCAATGTATGTACACATGTTAAAAACTTAAATACACAGAACGAAGAAAGAATTTGCTTGCGTGGTAGGAAGAGAGAAAAATATATTGTCTCTTCGTAACTTCTTTATCGATGATAAGGTGGAATAAATCCGAGAGAGAAATTCTGTTTGAAATAAGACGACGCGATTATTTCCTGCTTGTCGCGAATTTTTTATTTCCTTTTCCGGGGGAGGAAGCGGTTTTCGAAAGGAATCGTGTAGAAGATTGGGATTTTCTTCGTGTCTACGAGAAATTTCGAGCGTTTCGATATAACGACTTTCGTGGATGGTTAATTTATGGTTGTACGCGTAGCTATTCCGACACACCTGCTGCAATCTGCAATTTCATTTATTTAGAGTAGAACGCGTGAAGAGTCTCAAATAAACGAGTAAATAAATAAATTTCACATGCTCCCTCCTACCGGATTATCTCAGGTATCTCCCTCCCTCCTACAAATGCCGTGGAGGAATTACAAAAACCTCTTCTTGAAGAGGCGGTATTTGAAAGAAACAAAAATGAAACGATGCTCGTTGAAATGTGAACCCTCCCCGGTGTAAAAGGCATTTTATCAATATTATTCAAACGATCTCCATCAAACAATTTCAAATTCTCTCTTTCCCTCGCAACGTCGACGATAAATTTCGAGAATTTCCAATTTACGCACACCTGTCCTTTTCCTATAATAACCGTTCAATCATCGATTCACCTCGCCTCGAGGAAATCTTCTTCGATCTTCGATAACTCGACCACGCACCTTTACGCACGTTTCGGCATCGTTTCGCATCCCTCGGTTATCGCGATCGTGCACGCGTCACGATACGGCTTCATCGCTCTCCGTTATCGTCCATCGTGTCCTCCGTCCTTTTCCCCCCCACAAGAGAATGCGCGCCAACACTTTCGTCAGCCGGCCGCAATGACAAACGCGGGCGCCGCATCGTCAGGTGGCCCCGCCATTATACGATTACGTTTGCACCGCGGATCGGCGAGTAACGCGCCTTTATTATTATGCGCCCCGTACCACGCTCCCCAAGCTTTAATGTCTGTAAAACACGTACAAGGCGGTATCACGAACCGGGCATCATTCGATATTTCATAGCCCGATGGGAATTCGAACGATGTCTGACACGAGATTACCCGTTCCCGAATTTTTCCCCAATTATAAGTTTCCCTTGGCTCGTCCCATCGCGCCACTTCGACCATGTATCGATGAAACTTTTTCCTCCAGTTTTTCCAAGTTTTCGTCTCCAGGTGACGAAACAATAATAATAACAACGTCGAACCGGTTATACAGAAATTTAGCTTGCTCGATCGGAATAGATAAAATAGATTCGAGTTTTCAATCGAGATGAAGAACGAATCCGTTTCAAATGCGCCGAAAATAATTTCCACTTTGGAAAGCCGTGGAAGGGCGAGAGTTCCGCCCCTCGCGAAGAGGAACGTTAACACAGGTGACAACAGGGGAATCCGAAGTGGAATTCTAATTATTCGATCGTGCGTGAAAGAGACGCGCTGCTCGCGTGAGTATCCCCAATATGAACCACGCAATCTCCTCTTCGATGAGTCGGTCGTTTGTCTCGAGACAGAGAGAGAAGAAACAAGAGGCGAGAGAAGAAGATTCTGTTTTCCTCGAGGACGCTCGTTTTGTCGTTTTATTGGTTTAACATGCATTGCAATACGAATGCAAGCGGAAATCCACGGTGTGTTTATTCCTCGAGATCTTTCCCTCCCCCCCCCTCCGCTTTTATATTTTCCTCGGCGACTGCGTGACGGCCGCGGTCGGATTGAATATCATTAAATCGAATCGAGGCCGCGGTGCCTCTCTCGATTCGAATCGGTATAAAAGGCGAATCCCGAGGCGTGCCGGGGATAGTCGTCGCACAAATTTCGCGGAACATGAGAGGCTCGCTGGGAGGAACGATAATATTGGCTACGTGTTTCGCAGCCTGCGTGGCGGTGTGCCGCCCCGGCTTGAACGGAAGGAACGATTGGTACCGGTGCGAGGGGTTGACCGAAATAAACGTAAGAGACGTAATTTCCGATTTTTCTATCCTTCAAAAAATTGAAAGAATTTTTAAGTTCAGCTCGATATCAATTCATTCGTTCAAGGAATTTTGAGCATGGATTTTTTTATTTTGATAAAAAGTTGATTCGACTCGAAGAATCTCATTCTTCTGAAACGAGAGGATCGTTGAATGGATCCAGTCGAAATTATAATACGCATAACCCACAGTTAAATTTAAACCTCGTGGACACGCAATAATATTTACACGCAAATAATTATTCCCTTTAATAATTAAATAATCGCAACGATATACGCAAACATTCAATTTTGACGGAACATCGAGCAAACCCTTTTTTAAACAAACGTTAAAGGGAAAAATTATATATATCAAACAGGTATCGGTATTGCCATTTGGCGCGGTCGGATTGGAAATCGTGGCGTCGAATCTCAGCACGATTCGGATCGCCTCGTTCACCAAACTTTCCGAATCGCTGGAGGAGTTGAACATAACCGGATGCGGCGTGGAGACGATCGAGCCAAGCGCTTTCAGAGGTCTTGGCAAATTAAAAGTGTTGGGTTTGGTCGACAACAAGATTCGAAGCATCGACGCCTCTTGGATCAGGGATGTGTCGGGTTTGAAGGCGCTGATCGTGTGGCGTAATCGGATCACCGACATAGATCCCAATATTTACAGCCTGTTGACCGAGTTGGAGGTTTGGGACATCGCCCACAACCAGCTCGCCGATTGTCTACGACCGGAAATGTTGAAGAAGCTGAAGAAGCTTCGAACGATCTTGATCGCGGGCAACCCGTGGGCGTACAGATGCCGCTTCTCCATGACCTGGTATCTGGGCAAAAATCACATCCGTTTCATCAGGGATTGGGGCATCACCGATCTTCTGATCGAGGAGTGCTTGGCTCACGAGCCAGGTGCGCAGCAAGACGACGCGATTTTGAACAAATGCGTAGACAGAAAGGTCGGTTCCTCCGACTCGTTGCCCGAAACCGTGGCCGGGTTGAACGAGCAGGTTCGAGAATTGACCAACAGGCTTTCCAGCTTGGAGGCTGAGGTGGCCCAGTCGAAGAAGTCGAGGGTCTAACTCCGTTTCTTCGATATCCACCTTCGATAAATGTCGAGAAATGTACTAGATATTATTCATAGATACAAATGATCCTCCCGTTCAAGTAGAATTCGTCGAGATAATATCTTGCACACAATGTACGCCATATCATCATCGATCAGCAATAAAGAAGTTAGTCATCGCGCATCCGGTATCGATAATAATCAAACACCGTGCGCCTCCAAAACATAGCCGAACGCTCCTTTCCATATTAATAAGCCGGGTGAAAGTATTGTACACGCCTCCCTCTTCCGAGTATACCTCTCCACCTTAAAAAAAAAAAAAAAAGGAACAAAAAAGAGCGAGAGATCGCGGAGAAAGCATCCGAGAAGGAAGGAAGGAGGAGGAGAGGAAACGAAGCGGTCGTGTGGCGCGTATTATCGGAGCCGTTAATATCTAAACACCTCTAAATCACAATGCTCGCGTCATAGATGCGAGCCGCGTTAAATCACGACGCGTCTACCGGCTGATCCACGGATCTCTCTCTGCCTCCCCGATTCTCTCCGCCTGTGGGACAAGAACGGCTCCCTCTCTCGGTTTAGTAGCCGCCATTTATCATCGCTTGGCGGCGGCGGTGGCGGCGCTTTTGAAAAAATGCGTATCGTACACGCGGACGGATCACGCTCGCGCACGCTTCGTGAGATCTTTGACGCGGTTTCCGCGGTCATTAATAATGGCGGCCGCGCAAAAATACGGTACCCTTGGGGGTGGGAGGAGGGGCGGCAGGATATATCGGGCCAGCTGCGTTCCAACCGTTGAGAACGGCGCTTAAAACCGTTCACCCGATAAGCGACCAACGAGACCTCTCCCGTTCTTTTTGGAAGACTTAAGTTTAAGGTCGAGCGAATTTGAGCAGCTACGGAAGCAGGCATTTCGATTTTTCATTTAATCGAAGAAATATTCAGGAACTACTTATTCGAGAGGAGGGATTGTGTTGGATCGGCTCGTTCCTCTTTCCATTTGTATTTAATCGGACGTTGGTCGTTGAAGGATGGTGAGGGGGAGAGGAGGCACGGTAGGCGCACGGTAGTAGGCAAAGACCTTAGGAAAGGATATTGTTCCACCTCCTGCTCACGGAGAGAAACTGCTCGCGGACGCTTGATTTATAGAGAGAATCTCGTGCTCCTCGTGCTCCTGCACCGTGCAGCATCGTCCAGATCCTCCTCTCTTCTTAGTTGTCCTCGTCGTCTTTCCACTCTGCCTCGCTCCGTGCACCAACCAGCCTTCTCTCTCTCTCGTATGCAGAGTGCTCCAGTTCCCACGCAGCGCGGGCCTATGCACTCTCTCTAAGCGTGTTGTTCTCCCCGTGCTGGAAGTCGTACGTGTGTGTGTGTGTGTGTGGAGCTGGTTTTATGCGCTCCTGTTACGCACCCATCCTTTGCCGCAACCGTATGCGCGCTGGCATTAGCGTCTTCGAACGCCTTTTGCGGACCAGGAAACGCGGCTCGTTATTGTGTCGCTCCCAGAGACGCGCTCCTTAACTCGAGATATCACCCAAACGTGACGTGGTTAGGCGTGGATAGGATCTGAATTCGTTGACATTTCGTTCCGTTGGAATTTGGGAATAGGTTGTTAATTGCGCGCGATGAATATCTCGATTCTCGAGCTTTTTTTCTCCATGTAAATATATAATACGTGTGCACGGTTGCTCGGTCGTAAGTAACGGATAATTAAACGAAGGGAAATCTGGAGCGTTATTAAAAAGTCAATTATACCCTAATTGGTATTAAATCAACACCTCGTATGAATAATAATCTCCTCCTTTATATCTCTCGATCAATTATTCTAATTAATTTTTGAACGAGAGATAGATATTTCAAACGAGATATCTCGTGACGGGCAATGGATAACGCTTCGATTCTCTTCCCCCCCCCCTTTTCTCTCCCTTTCTTTTACGTTTCTCCCACCCTCGTTTTTCGTTTTCGGCGATTTCGTTCGTTTTCATCGCGGCTACGTTTTCGATCGTTATTTATCTTAGCACACATTGTGCACGCCTCGTGGTAAATCATGTTTAATAAGCCATAAGTTACAGCTTTTGCCCAGCTGTATTTATGATATGTTGATCCTTATCCGAATGATGTACATTAACGATCGAAGCGAGAAATCTGTATATACGCTCGGTGTACTCGGTCTATCTATCCTAGAACGTCTACGAGCTACGAGGCTGTAGCCAGTTAACCGCTTATCCAGACGGAAACGTATCGAATGCAAATATCTTAGCGTGGCGACGCAACGCTCGAACCGGTGATTCATTCATATTCGAATTCTTCTCGTCTCGCGATTTTAATATCGATTTTAATCCCCGTGTATTAGCAAACTCGAGGTATTTGGATGCATTTACATATAGGGGATAACGAAAGATCACGAGAACGAGGGCAAAGTGGGGAAAGTTCGGAAGAAGCATAAACTTAAGCGTGTTTAATTAAATCTAGATTTTGCTAATTGTCCAGGCTTGGCACAAAATTGCTTCTATGAGATTTCGTTTCGGGAGATTGGTAGGATTAAGAATTTTTCATTCAACTATTTATCGTTATTATCCGAATAATAACGTATTGCGTAAAATTTTCTAATATTTTCACAACGAGAGAAAGACATGCAATTCAAATATTTTCGTCCGTTCACGCGATGCGTATCCAGTTTAAATGTATATATTGCTTTATTGCTTTATTACGAAAAACAAAACTTGGGAAAATTTTTGATACGAGACTCGTCCGATTCGGCGGGGCAAATTCGGATAAAATATTTTCCCAACTTTTTTCCCAAAATTGTTATTTATGCAGATGTCCCAATTTTTCGTTTCTTTCTCTTCTTCTTCTTCTTCTTCTTCTTCTTCTTTTTTCCCCCTTCGTTCGGTTTATAAACTACGAGACTACGTATTTTTATTATCGCCAATTTATTACGCGTTTCAAGTGGCGCTCCCACTTGAATAATTATTTTATCGTATGTTTTCGTATCGAATATCGATGCCAAATGTCAAGTTCGCGTAATATCTGCTACTTATAACGTGGAAACAATCGTATAACGATACTTGTTATGTATCATCGACGTGTCACGTTCTTTTAAACCGTGATAACCGAGAGTGAGAGAGAGAGAGAGAGAGAGAGAGAGAGAGAGAGAGAGAGAGAGAGAGAGAAGAAGAAGAAGAACGTAAAACG